CAAAGTGTGTGAAAGTGTACCTCTAAAGACAAAACCACAAACACAAAAACAGAGAATGGACAGAGCCATCGCAGTGCTTCTAGGAAAAACCATTTCATTCCACTAAGACACATTCCTACTTGCGCCGACTTTGTGCTCTGTCATTATCTCTCTATCTTTTGTTATGGGAACTGTACACTTGTTCAACCCGTTCATGACACTCCAATTTTCCATTTCCTTGTCGGAGTATTCCCAAAACAACCATCAAAAGGTTAATTTTTCACCATTTCAAACAGCGCATGGACGTCAGCACACGCCTCTGAGTGCTTTCAGAGACCAGCGTTATTTTGCATCTGGGACTGGACCAACTTCCCCGTGGACCTGCACCAATGTGCATACAGGAAGAGCCGTTCCACATAGCACACCGTAGCTTCTGTGGTCCACTTAAAGAACAAGGACCTCTGTCTGCCTGATCTTTGTGGACTTCACATAAGCATTAGGTACAATTGTGCCACAGACCCTAATTCAAAAATGAAATGCAGTTGGACTGAGCTCCACTGTTTGCAACGGGGTCCTGGACTCTCCAACAGAAAAGCTGCAGTCCAGATGTGTCTTACACACTGCAACATGTAGAATGCAGTTGTTTTTGGACAATTTTTTAAATCGACTCTGTTTTTAGGCCAACAAAAGTGGGACCAAAGTGACAAAATTCATGTTTAAAACAAATTGAAAACACCAAAAAAAACTATTGAAATCTTTAGGGAAATAGGAGTTTTGAGCAGCTTGGTTTGTTTTCAAACAGATTTTCTTCTTACATCCTCAAAGATTTCCCCAATTCAGATTTTGTGCAAATGATTATATTAAGTATGGATGGCATTGACACCATTTGACCCTTGTTTGGTGCGTTTCAGGGAAATAAAGTGCGTCTGTACCGTAGCTCCGGCCAGCGATGGTGCACTTCTTGAACTGCATGACGTTCTGTGTCAGAGTCCCCGTCTTATCTGAGAAGATGTACTGGATCTGGCCCAGCTGCTCGTTCAGGGTGGTGGTCCGAGCCTGAGCAGAGTTCGAGAAATTATGGATTAGAAAAAAAGAGCTATTTTTTAACCTGAAAAAAACAGAATGACCATGTAAACTCCACTTCGGCTCCACCGTCTGCATAACAGCTCCAGGCATGTTCATATTACAACTAACGTTTCAGTTTGAAAACTTGAAAATCTAAACAGATTTTTTAAAAATAAAGATTTATCCATATGTATATTCATGATATTGTTTTTTTCTTTTCTTTTATCCTTTAGCACAAAAAGCCAAAACACAAATGTAATTTACCTTTGCTGCAGTGTCTTTCTCTGGAAAATACATTTGGAGGTCCCAGTTGATGAATTTACTCTGGCCCAGACGGATCACCTCCACACTGCACACACAAATGACAAGAATATTTTACTTTGAAAACTGTCTCAAAGTGCATCATTTCACTGAAAAAAAGTAAGGAAAAGTCAGTTTTACTGAGAAAGCTACTCCTAATTCTAATGCTGCTCTGACTGAAACAAAAAAAAAGACGGGAAAAAAAGGGAAAACATATCAAACCTCAATTTTGATCATTATAAAGAAGATGGAATACAGTCAGACAACCTATGTCATAAAAACTATATATTAAACATTCAGCAAACGGTACATATTTGGCATATAAAACCCATTAATCCAAATTTAAGTTATTCATATGTTGCTCTTGTTTAGAAGAAAAAAGCTCAAATGAACAGCAACATCTTTGCTATTCTTACATTACAACAAAGAAAACCTTTTTAAAACACCACAGTGCTTTTGGATTAAAAAAAACACAATGAAAAAATATAAAGAGGATTTACTGCAAAAAAGTAGAGACTCATATTTATTCATTTTAAACTTTGTTTACTAAAACTCACTGACCGACCAAAGGAAGACATTAATGAATAAAGACTCACAATGCTGTCCATGACTAAAAAAAATAAAGATAGTGACATAAAGATAAATTAACCCGACAGTATTTTTCAGATATCAGCAATCTGTGATGAGCACCAAAGTCCCAAAAATCTGTATCCAATTGTTGAACTTGTCTGATTTAAGTGGTGATCTGAGTTTCAAGCATTGTTTTCTATGCATGTCTGCCAATTTCTGCATCTCCTGCCACTGTCACAGCCGTTTCTTACATATCAGCATTCAATGAGCGTGTTTAACT